CCAGACATTTCGAGAGAAGAGCACAGAATCGCTTGAACGAAATGATACAAGCACTTTTTCGTCAATTTATGTGTCGTGTGTTATGATATGCACATCCTGAGGTCTATCCACTCAACTTCATCTTTATTTGTACTAAATTATTTCTCCTCTATAGCAGATTGGCAAGAATATAAGGATAACACTGAGTTGAATTTGGAAATGATATATTTTCAAATCGATAAAGTTACGGAATTATTGAATTTCAACTGGGGAGTGGCTTCAACTGAAGGTCTAATAATTATGATCTACCAAACAGATGAAACAGACAGTGGGATTGTAAACACTAGTCGATTTACGCCATATATCTATTCCGTTTTGAACATTCTAGGTATTAAGAGTATATGATACAGTTATTTTTTATTTAAAATTATTACATATATTTTTCCAAATAATCACTTCTCAGAAACGCTGGCTCTCGTTGATGTGACATATCGATAAGCACTGTAGTGTTTTATTGCTCAACAACCTAAAAATATTTTTTTAAATGTATGATAAATTGATATTCATCATAGAGAATATGTATTCTTCTTCATATAAAGATATGCAAATAATATAATTCATAAAACCTGTTTGTGAGAGATATAATTCCCATATCACTGATACGAATGATTTTTTTTTTGAAGTTTCAAGCTCATCAAGATCAGAGTTCATATACGAGTATGCTTCTCCTATACATTTCAATTCCCATTTCAATACTGAACATATCGGTGAGTTATATTTTTATATCATAATACATCATATTATTCTCCAGATTATTCTATTCGATTTGAGAGATGATGTTAATCCTCTATTCCAGAGGATTTTGTTCTTTCATGCTCTCTTTTTGGATATTCAACAGATATAATTCAATGTTCGACGTGGCAAATAGCCAGGAAAGTAGTTGTTTTCTGTTGAATGTTCAGAATTATATTATATGCATATCTTTATATGAAGGAGAATGCAAATTCTCTACTTCAGAAGATTTTGTTTTCAAATTCTTATCGTGTGTGTTCAATAGATGTAATTCGATATTCGTCGTGGCATATAGCCAGGAAAGTAGTCGTTTTCTATTGAATAAAAAGAGGAAGAATTAATATTTTCATCACATGGAGAATTCGAATTCTCAATCTATTTCTTTATATATATATCCATCATTTGTGTTCATAAATATATCTGAGAATGTTCCTTTTCAAAACTTGGAGAGAACTTGTTCAAAGGGATCCCATGCATTCGAAAATCTCTTCGAAGATGTTCGCCATTCAATTAATTTACTGGACAGAATTATCCGGGCCTTTCGATCCGTTTCAAACCAACAATATTTAAATCTCGAAATCTCGTAAGATCTGCCTGGCAATAAGCTAACGAAAAAACGAGGGACTTTTGTTGATTGATATCCTAGGTAATTCAATTACAGAATGTTTTCACTACCTTCCTTCTCCCTAAATAAAAAATCGACGGAATGTGCGAATAATAATGAGCTGAAGATGAATGGGTTGTCTGAAGGTGGAAATCGAACTGATCGGATACTATTTGAGTATCGTTCTCATGACTCGATTTTATATTTTCTGTAATCAAATCATCTGCCTGGCCAGAAATGACTACTGATGAAAAATAAAAATAAAAACAAGTGAATGTAAAAACTTCACAAACGATAAGATTTCCACAAAATTCTTAAACACACATATCACCTGACGAAGGTACTGTGTAAGCGAAACATGTTGTGTGTGTATTCGTGGAAATCTTATTGTTTGTGAAGTTTTTACATTTTCCATGGATTTCCATCAAGTAACGGCCGAGTCAATTCAAAAAGAATGTATAAAAAAAACAAGTGACCCATAGGAATGAGCTGTTATAGACACTGAATTGTTAATTTGGCTGTTCGTGCATCAGCTTGCATATGGAAGTTTAATTTATGAATCAATACGTTCAAGATCCAAGTGGTTCAAGCATTTTTTTTTTTTTTTTTTATCGCTTGGAGCGCACGAAAGGGAATCCCTATAATGTTCAGAGAACATCGTGCGTTCCTAGGGAGGATAGGGATAGGAGGTAGGTATTGGATTTTTTTTTGAACTTCTGGAGATTATATGTTGTTGGGAATACTTCCTCAGGCAATGAATTCCAGAGCCTAGCCGTTCTATGGATGAAGGAGTTTTGATAAAGTGCTGTTCGACATCTTTCGAGGTTGACAACGAAAGGATGTGCTGACTGGGCTTGTCTAGTTCGTCTGACTGGTATTGCTAGTGAAGGGATGATAGCATACTTCTTTTTACTCCTGAAAATAAAATTGACAGGACTCACGTACATACGCCTGCATGAAACTCATCTTTGAAAATGATATTTACAGTGTCTTATAACGAAAACTTGAATTCTCCCTATAATAAGATAACAGAATCCTCTACCAGAAATCGCCAGGACCAGCCGATTTTTATACATGACAGGAGTATTTTCACACTGTATATAGAAAATTCTTCTGATCTCTGAGTGAATGAATATGTGGTTGTGAGTGAATTTACTGATTGAAATTTTCGTGTGAATTCTCAACTCAAACTAGATATTTCTCCAAGATCTCATAACAATGAGAATGTTTATAGCAAATTTGATTGAATCGGTTCATGAATTACCAATTTACACATTCAAGTAGGGTGAAATTTCAACTCAATCGGGCGTGGACCGAGATTGACTTATTATTGCGTGGACATTGAGTGAAATTTCACTAAATTTTTATCTCAGTGTACAGTTGAACCAACCTTAGTGCTCATCCCTCTGACCCTAGCAACAGCAACTTTTAAATTTCGAATGGAAATACCCTACTTCCAACACATCAAAGCCCTTTCCATTGCGAATACTCTGGTGCCTCGAAATTTGACAGAGTTATTGAATTAAATAAATACCTGGGACTTTTTCTACCGAACCGATGACCTGCGAGATGATCATCTTGAAATTGCTGAACAGCAAATTTGATTTTCTATCAATTTGTTCGCATAGGAAAAAGTTATAGGTCGATAGTTTACAATAATGAATATTCAATTGTGTATTAAATGAAAAGCTTTTGATTAGTGCCGCAATTCTGGTTATAAATTATAACGCGAATATCAATATGACAATTGATGACACGTTTTGTTTTTGTTTAATAACTGTGTCAAATCTCAACTGATTTCCACAAACAATGCACCAAAGAATATGCAAAGAATTCGCAATAGAATGGGCTTTGGAATTATTCGTCGAGAGTAGGGTAGTTCCATTTGAAATTTCAAGGTTGTGATTGCTAGGGAGTAGGGGGATGAACACAAGTTCGTTGAACCGTCAAAAATGCTACCCCCAAGTATTGTAGATTGTAGATGGGTCGTATGGGCTGGGAGACCTCTCGATCACTGCGACCTAGAAGATCTATTGTGATTACCCTTATCTAATTTTGGTCCTCTAACCCTAGACTTCTGATGAAGCCTACAATTTTCCTGACGGTTGAATTTTCCACCTCAGCAGGGGTGAGATAGACCTGTTCTAGGTGGTTCAGCCTTTGGCGGACTAATACTTCACATGAGCAAAGTATGTGTTCCGCGGTTTCGGTCGCATTGTTACAAAAGCGGCAAGTGTCAGTCTCCGCCAGGCCCATCTTTTTGAGGTGGTACCTCAGAGGGCCGTGTCCTGTGAGAAAGCCTGTGATAAGCTTTAGCTCTGGTTTGCTGAGGCTGAGTAACTCTTTGGCTCGGTTCTGCGAATGGTTGATTAACCTTTTCGCTTGTTGTTGACCTTGAGTTGCTCTCCAGTAGGAGGACTTTCCAATTTCTTCCCATTTCCTGAGTTCTTCCTTTAGGTGACATTTGCTTATCTCACAAAAAGGCTCAGGACCAAAAAGTGCAGATGCTGCACCTTTTTTGCAAGGCGATCAGCTGCCTCATTTCCTTTGATTCCTTCATGCCCTGGAACCCACATAAGTGTGACTTTGTTGTCCTTTCCCAGTTGCATGAGTGTTTCAAAGCAGTCCCATGTGATATTTGAACCCCCAAGTATAGAAGTTAACGGATTCCTATATTTTGTTCAGCAGAAATGTCGTAGCCATTACTACATTTCACAAGAATTACATTTACTTTCCCTCTGAGCTACAATCAACTTCCTTGCACACTCATTCCTAAAGCTCGTTACAGAAGCTTTTCAATCCCTTTCTGTTGGCGTGTTCAGTTTAAATCCCATATGGTTTGCTCAAAACTCGTATAATAAATCCGTATCTTATGATGCCACCTCAGAATTACTCTTTTCGAAAAAGCATATGGGTGAGGCAGGAAGAGAATTTATTAGATCGAGTCGAAAGCACGAGAAATGAAATAAGGTTCTGCTAGCACGAAATAATTTCAGTAGAACATGTTGGAGGAATTAATCCGTGCGCACTATATGTTTCCCAAAATATATCTACACGCTCTGAACAGTTTTGTTCAAACGTCTGGGAACGGTCTCATATTTCCGAAACAGATCCGAGAAAATTCATCAAAATTTATACAGGACGAAAAATCGAAATCAGTTGCAGCTAATGAGCTGGTCAATCTTCTGAAAGAAAAAGGCCAATTAAATCAAGAAGAAGAAGAAATCAGTTGAAGCAACAACATAACCTTGCTGTCGTACTAATTTAGAATTCTTTTTATGTTCTGGTTTCCACGAAAAGAGGGAAATACGGTAGGAATTGGTGTCCTTCTTAGATTTCTGAAGGTTATATGCCTCGGGGAACACCTTTCTTGACAATGTGTTCCAGAGCCTCGCTGTTCGTTGGATGAACGAGTCTCTGGAAAGAGATGTTCTGCAGGTCTACAAAGTGCCACGAAAGGAATACCAAGGTTATGTTAATGCTCAAACTGATTTCGATTTTTCGACACAAGACAAGATCAAGTCAAGAAGTAATCATTGATTTCAGGACAAGACAAGAAATGTTATGTCAATACCAAGATTTTTTTGTGAAGAGAACAAGAAATCTCGAAATTTCTTGACTAAAAATGAAAACGCTGAAAAGTTCGTTTATCACTGATGAAGATAGTATCAATACGGGGTGAGTCATTGAAATGGGAAAGTGAGATAACACCTTTGATGTTTGAGATAGATGAACAAAAATTGTTGTGATGATCTAGGCTCATGAGCAGTACATTTCCAAAATATTTCGCTTTATACAGGGTGACTCAAAAATGTGTGACGTATCAAAGTTATACTTTTTCTTATGGGACACCCTGTATTTCATTGCATTTTCGGATTCTCCTTTGTGAGCTGATTTCATCAATGCATCACACTTGGGTCTAGCGAGAATGATTACAGAGACATAGGGTGTGCAAAATCGAGATATTTCAACTTTAGGATTTTTTTGGGTCGAAACTATTCATTATTGGTCAAAACGTTTGATTTACTATCTACTGATATTTAATTTGAACGAATACAGGGTAGTTCAAAATTCAGAACTATGAACAAGGAAACTTCATCTTTATTCAAGCCATCATCAGAAAAGAAGGTCTTTTCGATGGTTGACTAAAGATGAAGCTCCTTTGAGTATATTTTTAAAAATGAACCTACTATTGGGCAGGTTCTTTTCTTTCTATATGTGACCTGATAACTTTTCATGTTATAAATATACCTCACACACGTTTGTGTTAATAAATTTTGTGGTAGACCTACTTTCAGTTCACTTGTTTTTCTTTTTAGAAAATACTGGACCACTTAGAGGAAGGATGGTTTCCATGACTGAATAATTACTCGTCACCTGATGACTTTCATTCGCACTTGAGGTTCATCAAGTACATCTCATCAGTTGAACAAAACCATATTCCATTCATACATTACATTATCTACCCTATATATCAAATGTGAAAATTATGTGAATGCTTTTCACGTAGAAATATTGTTTGCACGTCTGATAATTTTTTTAGCAACAATGTTTTTTCGATTGAAGCCAGTTTCATTGTTATTTCCCATGGGAATATGCTCGTAAAAGGGTAGTTAATTTTGTATGTAACTTTCAGAATAAATTCTCACTCGGTTCAGAAATGTGTCATACCCTGACATTCGTATTCAACTTTGAGAACAGATATGCTTTAAAATATGTTTGAAACGAATTCTTATGAGAGATACCGAATATTCCACATTATTGTTTCACCAATTGTTTTATTCTGTTGAAAATACATATGAGATATGAATTTTCCAGAAAAATGTGTGGATATACCTGGCCCAGCTTATAACCATAAACAGACATATATTTATTTTACTACTGTAGCATATTCCGGGTGTGACTTCGAAATAGCAATTTCACTGGTTGCCAAGAGGCGGAAAATCCTCTCCAGAGATATTTGATAACGGTAGCTTTATGTTTTTACGGCACAAAATATGGAGAAACCCCAGCAGTGAGATATGAATTATACCGGGTGATTCTTCGAGACGAATCGAACACCCCTATATTATTATTGAAGATGTAGAAACTAAATTTTAACTTCAACTTACATATCTTGACATATTTACTCGCTATGCCGTACATCCGGTTTGACTAGAAATTACCCCAACTTCCGATTTTTTAATAGGACGTTCTATATATTATTCCTTTTTCGATCGAGAATGAAATTTTGAATCCTAGAATACCTCACTCGTCAATATTTGACAAATGACGTCATTTTTATTCCAATTTCTATTCATCGATTCAGAATAATGTAATGGACCATGTGAAGCACTTTATTCTTGATCAAAGTAACATGGAAAGAATACGACTTTGAGGTTTATGACTTCACAGTCGTTTTAAGAATTATTTGAAAGTCGCAAATATCAATTTTTCAGTTGACTCGATTTTTTCGGAAGAAAAGGCGATTGCTTGACGGCTTTTTGTAATAGTTATTTATGTAATAAGGATCATAAAGACGATCATTATGGTACAAGTCGTGAATGTTATCGAGGCGTAGCCGAGTCCGATAACACGGCGTGTGCCATAATGATTGTTTATGATTCGTATTACATACAAAATTTTAACTGATGGCATTTATATCAATACATTTTCGAAAAATTAAAAACTGCATTTTCGACATGTCACAATGACAACTATTTTTAAAGGAGTAAGTATTGTGTAGTTTCAAATATTAGTAGGTGAGTGAGCTGTGCTTTGCCATTATATTAATATTACAAATTGTAGTAATTGTTCTTTTACCATTTATAATAAATAGTTTTGTACATAGTTATGCATTTTGAATAAACTTTTCTGATCAAACCATTACATGTTTTCCTTATAGAATTTCATTATGGTACTTAGTACCATAATGAGCTTCCTTATGTCATCAAAATTGAGTGACATAACGTTGTCATTATGACATGCCATCAGATAAAAGATTATTTTTCCACGAACTATTCGATACCATACACTTTCCTTTTATTACACGATCCATGGCCTTCTAGATGAAAAATAAAAATTTGGATAAAAATACTTATTTGTTTGTCAAATATTGACAAGTGATGTGTTGTAGGATTCATCAGTGTCATTGTCGTTCGATGTCACTAAAAATATATAGGACTCCTCATTTAGAAATTGAATGTTGCGATTAGTTCCAAATTACTTTTTCATCTTCAATAATGAAAAAATTATAGGGGTGAGCCACCTTGATGGACAATCATCTGGTATACATAAAGGGCTGAATCAAGATTGTAGGTTCAACTTGAACACAGAAATTTAATTCGATACATTCCATGAAATATCAAACAGTTCAAACAATGTTGTAGTAGAGGAAAAAGAAGAAAAGAAGAATATAATGGAGAAGTTTCCTTCGGATGAATTTCCATCAAATTATTTTCACACTTTTCATTTTTTCATAAGGTCTACTCATGATGATTACGAGTATATCCTGAAAAATAAATGAATTGAGAGAGAATGAAATTTAAATTAGAACTTTTTGCTTGCCACCAGATATTTCTGAGGATATTACAATTCTGACAAACTAATAAGTCTATGGAAATAATAATCACAGCAATTAGAATACAATCAATAAGTACGAATACAACGAAGACAGCGCATAATGCATATTATATAATTCTATTCCGTGAATTAAGAAGAAAGTACCAAACCGAAAACAACAATTAATGAACGATGAAAACATAACCTCAATAAATCCGAAGCTATCAGCATATTTTCTTGTGAACCTGGGTTTGCCGTCAAGTTTGAATTTTATTCTGATTTTATTCATTACAAGATTCAACTTTTGAGTAATGGGAATATCCTAAATATTATTGAAATATATCTATGTTGCGTCTTGATTAGTCATGTATGTCAATAGGCATCCATAAATAATTTGGTTCATACTTTCAGACTGAACCAGGAAATCAATATAACAAAAATATAATTCCATATGGAGTAGGTAGCCAATATTAAAATAGAGTCTCATTGCAGTCGATACATAATGATAGACATCAGAATTTCTTAAAACCCAAACGTATAAATGTAAACGGCAGCGTCGCATTGCACTAGCAAAATAGCGTAATATTGCTCTGTGTGAACTTATGAGCAACAAATATGGCGACCATTGTTTTGAGTGTTTTATTTGAGAATAATTTATTTGTTGAAGTGCATATTCCAGAACCTCATTTTTTCCTGATGAAAAAACTCGAATTATTGCATGAACTTTTATTGTTTACAATGAAGAAGCCAGTACCTACCTTATAATAATATAATATACATTTTCTGAAGCACAGTTAGAATCCTTGTATAAATGTTGGTTGCAATGATTCGATCTCGGAATAACTCCAAATCTTCAATTGCTGGAGATCCTTGTTTATGTAAATCGATGATATTGTTCATTCTGAGCAGCCTTTCCAACCATATCTTTTTTTCCCAGCCCCTTCACTAGAATTACATCTCCGTCATAAAAGCCAGTGATATTTCTAGATGAATTCAATTATTTCTTCATACCTATACCATATTGTTGTAATAGCTGATTGTTTATATGGCACCATTCCAGTCCATGCAAGTGTTGAGTGGACCATTCCGACCATTCCATATGTTCGAAAACTGTGGAATTGTAGTGTGATATCAATGATGGATATCACCATTGTCCACATCAAGATGGCAATTTCTCTGCACAAAAAGTAATTTTTTCCATATACTGGAAACCTTGTACGTATTTCACGAAATCAACTCATTATTCACTATTTTGCAAAATGATTTCGAAATAACCAATTTGCAATGAGTGCATACGGCAATGTTTTTTGTTGTTCATACTCAGTTTGAAATTTGACGTTGATTTGACGTTAAATAGAGCCATCTATTGGTTCGTGATTTTCGCGAATTGAGAAAATAAAGAATACGTATGAGGAAACTCTCACGTTATATTCGTCTCTGGTTTATTGATATAAATATCGGAGATTGATAACCTTGATGCCTCACCTATACATGGGTCGGACTGAATATCAATCCTTTGTTTCAGATACGGAAGTCCTCACCATAACAGATCGCAGTCAGTGAAGACTCCTGGTAGGTCTTCTGGTAGACCCAACTACCTATGTCTTCCACAGCAAAGATCGAGAGTAGCATCTATGCCGAATACGGGCGTAGAAGAAGAATATTACCGACTCAGGCACTTTTCAATCACAGGGAAGGGCATCGTCAACAGAGGAGACAGCTTGAAGAGTCGGAGGTCTAGATCCAATAACTCTGTGGCATCGAGCAATTCAAGGTGAGTCATTTCATTTCCAGCGATGCAATTGCAAGAGTGAAAACTAGAGATTTTCCCAATATTTGACGGAAAGAATATTATAGGTTCATTCGGGTTCCGATTTCAGAACTGTTCAAGAATCGTCCTCGAACTGCGTAGAACTATTGCGCAGTCGATTCGAATCCTATGACTGTTTCAGAACGGTTCATAAATTATGAAAACCCGAACGAGGCAGACAATAACCTTTGAGAACATAACCTCTATTCAGAATTTGCGACAAAAACAATAGTTTGGCACCTGTATCTTCATTAGAATAATATGCTGATATATTCAAGATAAAGTGACACAATAAAATAACTAAGCTCTTATTATTGAGTTTGAAATAATGGTTCCCTAACATTTGCTCACCCGCACAATGCGCGGTTAAAAACAAAATTAATTTTTTTCATGTTTTGTATTAAGTGAACTTTTTCCACCAATAATGGTAGGTACATTTAGATTTCTCAATCAATATTCATAACTAACATAAGCATTGTTTCTTCTTACAGATTTTCTTTTGACACATCTGCTGATGATGAAGGATCAATCCTTCATACATGTCCTTATTCATGTCCATGACCGTTGGTCTTAATTGAAAATTTTTATGTGGTGGAGTTGTGATTGTAAGTTCTGTCACCCCTACTGATTTATATCACCTCCACTGTAAATTATGGATCACCTACGTTGGTTATAATCAATAATTTGAAATCTTGAAATATGTGGCTCAAAATATTGAAAAACACTAACCTTACAAGTTTTTTCTAATTTCTTCAGTTAATCACGGAATAAATTGACACACTGTACAGTGTGTCCAGTTTTCGATGCTTTTGCGTTAACTAGTGTTTTTGTCCTTTTCATGGAAGAATCAAATGAAATATTCTTTCAATTGGAACTTTTTTCAAATGAAAAATCCATAGATCAGTATTAAAATTCAATGTTTTAGTGATTTAGGAGCATTTTTGAAAATTTCATACCTATTCATCATATTTCATTTTGATGAGGAAAAATAAGGAATTTAATGAGCTTATAAAATACAGGGTGTTCCATATGAAAAATCATGAGTTTGAGTCGTATCTCCGAAACCATAGCCAGAAAAAAAATTTGAGTGCGCCACTGAATTCTGCGTAAACTTTTATATGGGATGAGATTCAATTTTGACATTTTCGCTGAGAAACTTCGTAGATATAGAGGGGGTCCAAAAAGTATAAATTTTCAAAATCGCCCTGTATCTCATAAACGGAAACAGTTATGCAAAATCTGACTAGGTCATATTGAGTTTCACAAAAAAGTGGCCCACGACCGCGAAACCCGCAAGGTTCTATCTCGAAAAATAACTGAGATATCACACAAAAGCATCGAAAACTGGACACACTGTACATATGTTTTTTTCAAGTGTCCACCTTTTCATGTTGCTCTCTAGTATAACTGCCTTGGTTTCACATCTGGCTCTCAAAAATTCTGTCAAGTAAAGGGAAGTGGAGTGAAATTGCTGCTTTCTTGGGCACTTTATGCTCATTTCCACTATACTCCTATGAGCTCGAGGGTTGTTTTATAGCAGTTCATCCAATCTAGGAAAATATTTAATTCCAACAGGGACCACTCGATGAAAACCTCTTGTCTCACATTATACTAGTGAAATTTGTTGATGAAGAAAAGTGCCGGTTGTTTAAAAACATGTTTCTCTTTCTCTATAAAATTTCAAATAACGATTATAAATTATGTTTGAATAGCCGTTGCAAGGTTTAGTATGGTTTAGTATTGAAGATTCATTGAAAGAACATGAAGTGCACAATCGATGTAATTTTTTTTTTCACCTTTGTTGGGTGTAGCAAAAAAAATCCCTATTGAGTTCGTAGAGCATCGTTCATAATAGGGGGAGAAGAAATGTTTTGGAATTTTGGAGTACATGTTTCGAACTATCAGAGAATTGATGAAATTGGTGCATGAATACTAAATTTTGGAGTAGAATTTCAAGATGGCGGCTAGGCGCCATCTGGGATAAAAAAATTAATTGGAAAGGGGGGATCTTGTGATACATCATTTTGGAGCCCCTGACGAATAATTAACAACCCTAGAATATGTCAATAAGTCAATATATTCATTTACTACAAAATGGCTGAACATTTAATAATAATTGTCTCAGTACATCGACGTTTAACTTCATATTTTAAGAAAATAAGGTGTGTTCAGTTCGGAAGATGCTCGAAATGGTTGCCTTAAACTTATTGACATAAGAACAACCTATTCGATATTTCATGCCGAACATTCTCGAACACAGTAACGTCGATATTTCTACAAATATTCGCTATTCTCTGCCGTATGTCCAATCTTGAAGCAGTGTCAGTTTCGTACACCTTCTGCTTCAAATAGCCCCATAAAAAGAAGTCTAAAGGTGTCAAAACTGGCGAGCGGGCTGGCCATTACGTAGGACCTCGACTGCCAATCCAACGACCGGGGAAAGTATTATCCAAATAGTTTCTCACTTGTCTGGAGTAATGTGGTGGTGCTCCATCTTGTTGGGATACAATATCCATATCAAATTCATTAGGATTCGCTTCGACGATTTCGGTGATTAGAGGGTCAACAGTATTCTCCAGCATATACAATACAGTGAATAGAGGTCCTACAATATGGTTTCCCAATATTCCTGCCCAAACGTTAATTTTTTCTGGATATTGAGTCTGAGTTTCTGGAAAACTAAACTAAACTAAACTAAACAAATATTCTGGAGATGGGAAGGATGCCTCGAAATGGTTTCCGTCATAATTTCGCAGAATTGTATTCTTCGATCAGGGTCATCTTCAGTTAACTGGTGTACCATTTTGAGTTTGTATGGATGATACTCATTCCTCTTCCAAAGTCTCCACACAGTAGAAGGACCCACCTCATAAATATTAGCGACGGTGGAAGTAGACTGTTGAGGATTTACTATAATCTCACCAACTATGGGAACTTGCTGTTCTTCCGGAATGGTCGGATGACCTGGTGGCTTCTTGTTCTGTACACTACCGATAGTCTTTAAATATTTTCTACAGATTGGAGGATTTGGGAAGAGGTCATTAAAAATTCTTTCGGTTTCGTGAAAGTTACGCGTCGCACCGTAAATAAAATCTCTTCGATTTTTTTTTCCACACGGAAAAAAAGATTTGTTGCACCAACAAAATAATTTTGGTCATTTTTTCTTTGTTAAATTAAACACAATTTTGCGAAATTAACAAAATATATGTTCATTTCAAATAAGCAACCTTTTCAAAATGACAAAATAATTTGTTTGAAATATTTGCTTACTTGAACAAAAGTTTCATTTCGTTCAACAACATTCATAGTTGACATAAAACAAATTTTGTTGATTCAACTGTCATCTCATTGTTCAATCAGTCATATGCATTTTGTCCATTGTAGAAAATTACATTAATACTGAAAAATATTTAACTAAATACAACATCATATTTTGTTGAGTCAACAATCATTTCATTGTGCAACCAATCGAATGTTTTTTTCTATTCAACAAAATTGAATTGATTATAACAACATTATATTTTGTTGATTCAACACATCACTATCAAGAAATATGTTGTTATTTCAAACAAATTACTTCGTTGAGCAGAACCCACAAATACATTATATCAAACAAATGTTTTGTTGAATGATTATCTAGTTGCATTCTTGCCACTAGGTGGCGTTTCTTTCAACCTCCCTACGCTCGCCTCGATTGGGGTGTACATATACCCACCCAAAACATCCGTTTATTTAATTATATTAGGCTGTCCTAGACTTCCTTATGACGCTTATACAAGCTAATAGTCTTGGATCAACTGAGGAAATTGATCCCTAATTCCTCTTAGTTTTGAAATTTAGTCATTAGATTTTTTTATATTATTCAGCCAAATATTTTGTCAATTCTTAATACAAATTGGTTGATCGAAGAAAATATATTGTGCTTTTGGGTGTATGATAAATTGACATTCATCATACAGGGCGTGGAAATGAATTCTGAATTGAGACTCTATCACGAATCTGCGATTAGAGGTCTATAAAAATCACAAGTTTCCATCGTTCAAGTTTGAACCCCCTGATTGGGTATAAAAGTGTTGAAAAGGAATATTCTCAGATGAATTATGATCATTCAAAAAAGGATATATATTTATATAAAGCAATACATTGAGAATTCGCATTCTCTATGTGATGAGAATATTTACTCTTTTTCAGGTAATTCAATAGAAAACAACTACTTTCCAGGAAAGTAGTTGTTTTCTGTTGAATATTCAGAATGATGTGTGTATATACATTTTTTTGTCTGAAGGAAAATGCAAATTCTCAATTTCAGAAATTCTTATATTTTATTTTCAAACTCTTATCGTGTGTGTTCAATAGATATAATTCAATGTTCGTCGTGGCATATAGCCAGGAAAGTAGTTGTTTTCTATTGAATTACCTGAAAAAGAGTAAATATTCTCATCACATAGAGAATGCGAATTCTCAATGTATTGCTTTATATAAATATATATCCTTTTTTGAATGTTCATAATTCATCTGAGAATATTCCTTTTCAACAAAATATATTGTTATTTTAACATATTCACTCTCTGAAAAACTGAAAATTTTGTCACTTGAATGAAATGATATAATCATTTCAATCAACTGTATCGTTCATAAGAGCAGAATATTGTATTATAGGAACAAAATAGTCTCTGTTTATTCAACCAATTCCTGCTGCTAATTTGAATCATTAATGAATTACATCAAATGAATTTTGAATTGAAAACTGACAAAAAACATTTGTTGCGGTGACAAAATATTTTGTCGTGGATATATGACACTCAGATTTTATTGAATTTACAAAACATTTGTAGTTTCAAACATTTTTTTTTTCTGTGCAATAGACGAGAATTGACCATTTTTGAGATAGTTCACGTGGTACCTATTTACTATGTTGTAAAACCAAACACTGAATGATAATATTTTAACAGAACAATGATGTTTGTT